GGGGGGGGGGGGGGCAAGCAATGGGGAGAAGATGGCAAGACACGGCAGGGATGAAATGGCAAAAACAGCGGTGGAAAGGGGATTAGGAGGACGAAGGTTCGGGATGGGCTAGCCATGTGGAATGACGAGGAAGTGGCCACACAAATCAGGGATGCAAGGGAAAAAATGAGGTGGACAGGGGGTAACTAGAACAGCGGTGGGTGGCCCGACACGGCTAGCTCCTGTAAGCTGTAGGATTTACCGGGTCACATGTTCCGTGGTAGTTGAGACAAACGCACACCAAGATAGGCAATTGATGGAAAGGGTTGCTGGCAGCGGAAGCTGAACGGCTGATGGTGGCAGTGGCTCCCCGCCGTGTAGATGACCGAGACGTAGCGTCAGCCGAACAACGTAGATTTAGATTGTGCCGTCGAAGGGATAGTCTACAATAGCGACGACACGGCACGGTCAAGGACTATCATAGCATGATGAGATGAAGCTGTCCGATCCCCGTGGAAAATGCCTACAGCTGGTAACCTAGAACGGTCACATGTACGCCGCCTTAATCCTCCGCATTCCGTATTCTATGATCACCAGAAATCACACTGTCTCGAGAAAGGAAGACACTGATGAACCACACTGGGGTTGACCCAAGAGAGACGTGCATGCCACTGAAAACGTTGTTGTGTGGACCACGCCTGACGTATAGCGTTAAGTTTTCATCGAGACGCCGTACCACACGGTGGGAATACTAGATAGAAACCACGGGCGACTCCTGCACTAAACAACAACGGCATGTTCACGAAAAAAAAAAAAACATGGTGACAGTGACAGTGACAGCAATGACGAGATCGAGGGAGTCATGGGCACATGACATATATAATGCTTGTACTCCGCAACAAATGATCTGCCTAACAACTTATCTCTTCCTCTACCACCACCATTAGAGTCTTAGAGCGTCATCATCAACATCATACACCAGGCACGAGCACGCCGGCAAACCCGAACAGCCATGACAGCTACCGCGACCGTACCGTAATTGTCAAATCGATCGCAGAGCCCCAACACAACAAGTAACAAGCAACATCCCAAGAGAAGACCAACCTCTTTCTCTCTCTCTCTCTCTCTTTCTCTCTGTGTGTGTGTCTGTCTCTTTGCCCGTGTCTCCGCCAGCCGCACCTACTGACCACGCTCGCTCTCTGCATGCGTGTTTCTCTCTCTCTCTCCGTCTCTCTCCTATCTATCGCGCCCTATCTCCACCCGTACACACGCACCTTCTGCACGACGATATCCCAGGGGTAGATGGTCCTTGGTGAGGCCATCAGGTGGGCCAGGATCGCGTCGGTGGCGAACACGTTCCCCTTACCCTCCACGGCTAGCTTCTCCATCACCGGGTCGTCGGTCGTAGTCACGTAGTAGAACTCCTTTTTCTCGCACCGCTGTACAAGAAACAAACACACACACGCACTTCACGTATTTAGAACATACATCGGGGGGAAATCTCAAGGTACACCGTGGTCGTGGAACGTACTCACATGGTTCTACGTAGTGCGTACATTGGTGATGGGAAAATAGCACGGTACTAAATGGTCATTGGAAAGGGGAAGCGAATGCGACAATTTGAGACGATCGAGGCAACTACATTAATAGCGTCGGGTTCCGCAGTACGCAGCACAAAAGAAAAACCAGCAAGTTTTGTGGGTCAAGCTTAAGCTATGAACATGTGCAGTAGGGAGCGCATTCGAGTGGGAAAAGCGAGAACGTGAAAGTGAAAGTGACGGTCTAAAATAGAGATGGCGCTGGTCGCAAAAGAAAATAGAAATACAGATTGCATTCGACCTGAACCAAAGGGGAAGACTAAGACACCAGTGGCTTCGAGACCCTTTACGAGGCACGAGCTACACGGAATTGGACATAGATCTGGACGTTATCTAGTCGGAATGCTGGTCACGCTGTTCCAAGTTACATGTTTCACGGCGAGGGTTGGGTTGCATTCTGCACCACAAAGAACCACAACATAGAGGAGAGGTGCTGAAATTCAACCCTGAGAACCAAGAACCCAAGAAAAATAACAAGCATAAGAGGTTTTGAAACTCAACACTACGACCAATAATAGTTCTACAGGGCAAGAAACACAACACGCATCTATGCGTACCTGCAGGCGCCTCTCGGTTCTGGAGGTGATCCTATCGTACTGGTCGTCGTACTGCTCCAAGAAGCCGCACCACTGGATGTCCTCCGCCTTGGGGATGTTGGTCTGGAGCTTCGTTAGCTGCGGCAGCTCGAACTCCTCCACGACCTAACCGGACATCATCATCATCATCATCAACAACAACGAACAGCATAGACACGTTTTCCATCTGAGCGGGAAAGGCACTGCAAACAGCAGCCTCATTAAGAGAGATGGCATGTCAACGCAGACACGAACATGAAGGCGTAGAAAATACGGCATGTAGCTAACCCTATTATTGTCGCAAACGATGGAAAAGCTCAGAGACGAGAACCCAACCAGGGGCGTCTTGTAAGCAGTGTTAAAATCAACCATCCCCAAAGAAGACCCTGATTTTTGGTTTGTTTGATTACCCTGAACATGCAAACAGGCATCTGTCACACCACGACGCACTGCTGCTGTCGAACCGTATTGGGCAGAAAATAGCTCCAGAAACGAAACAAACTTCGCTTGAACCGACGTGATACGAAAGTAGCACAAGCACGGCACGAGAACATGCAGGAAGAAACCCCCAGGCCTTCAACATGAACATGAACGCAAGACGGCACACTTCCTTGAACAACAGGCGTTCTTTCTTGTGGTGCAGGGATGTCCCAACTACAGCATCTGCTGGACTTGACTGGTTTGGTGCAACCAGGCTTTGTTCGTAACGTTTTCAGCTTGGCGTGTTTGCCAAGTCAGGCCAAAGATGTACGAAGAGTCAGTCCATCTCGCAAACAAAAACAACAGACAGACCATTTGCCCTCGGACCACATATGCGTATCAAAACCATCGCCAGGGCAACATGCCGCTGCGGCCATCGCCGTCATGTTTTCGACGGTTCAAACGAAAGCTGTAGCAGTCCAAAGAGTGGCGCGACAAAAAACACAAAAGTGGTGTGACAATTGCAGTCAATACGTGTGAGGTCACCCAGGCAGGACCTGCGGCAACAGCAGTCAGCCCATACATAGACGGCGTGACAACAAAAACAAAGCAAAACACGACACAACACACGAGCTACAAGTGATCACGTGTGACGTGACATGACATGACATGACATGGCATTCCCTGACCCGCCACCGAGGCGGAACCTGCGCCAATAACATTCGGTCCACAGGGTACCGTCACAAACAAAAAGCAAAAAAAGTGCGGTGTCACTAAAAAAAAATAGAAAAAAGCTGTATTCAACCAAGAGTAAAAAGTCAACATGTATGTGACGTATGTATGCATATCATGTGAGGTCATGTTTGCTCACCTGCCAGTCAGGCAAGACTTGCACCGAGGCCTGGCGGTCGGTGCGCTGGCGGTCTCTCCGGTACGGGCCGCGTCCCCTCGCCAACCGCTGACGCTCCCACTTGTTCTTGGGCACGCCGATGAAGCGACCTCCAGTGCTGTCGTATCGTATAGCGTCGTGTGGAATCGACAAGAAAATACCAGCATCAACAGTAACACAAGCCCATCCACATGAGGAACAAAATAGTAATGAGTGGAACACCATAACCCAGAAGGACCGCAGTGGCGGGAGGGAAAATATCCACGTTCATGGAGGTGTGGCCAACTCAGAAAACCCTAAAGCAGTACCCTCGGACATCGTCCGGTCGGCAACGTATTACTGTTGACCAACAAGATTTCAAACAAGTCCAATCGCACCAAACAAAAACGGGCGTTCTTTCCCTTTTCGCCAACGGCAACGATAACTACGACTACAGGCGGTAGGAAAGAAAAAAAGAGCCGGAAAACCATGACTCCTCACAACAAAACAAAGTAGCGCAGAATCACAACAACACGTATCGTCAACGGACACTAGCACTCGCTAAATCAGCCCCAACAGACCCAAACCTCTCCTTCTGTCTCACCGGTCCTTCCCGGCTTGTCCCCCCTGACTCGCCGCCGGCTGTCCCCGAGTAGTCTCCCCGAACCGTCCGCCGAACCGACCGCCGCGACCGCGCCCCCGGCCACGGTTGTTGTTCCAGCGGTTACGCGGTCCGAACCGGTTCTGCTTGGACTTTGTGGTGTCCACCAGGCGGAACGCCTCGTCCTGATTGGTGGTTCGTGCGTCATTATTGCGGGTCAATTTTGCGGGACAAGAAGAAGAAGAAGCGGGGGGGCGAATCGGTGTTTAGTGTAGCTCCAACACGAAGAAGGTGGTGACGACCATGACAAGAGAGCGGTACTGCTGTTGTGGTAGGCGGCAAGGTTCCGGGCAGTTGTCATCAACTCGAGACGCTGCTATAGTCGCCGTACAATAAACAAAAAAATGCACCCCTTGTCGTCTATCACCGCGGTCGGGATGCATTACCATGGTACGGTATGATGGCATTGGACATCCACCATCGAAAACGTCTAGAATATAAAACCCCAAAAGGTCCGAGGCAACACCAACATTGCATCGAAGGAAGGCCTCCGACTACTGTACCGACGGAAACAACGATCTCAACACGTCAACTACCGTAAATGACACATGATTAACGCACCCCCTGGACAAATTTTCAAATCTCGATTTCTCAACAGCAGAAAGAGTCACAGCGCCGAAAACGGTGGCGTTGAGGCTGTCTTGTCGAGACCTTTCCGAAAATGTATTGTTTCATTTATGCATCCTCTTCGTCGTGGCGTAATCGAGCTTTGAAAATTGGTCCAGGGGGGGTGTTATCTTGTGTCATATACGGTATTAACGTGTCGTGTGTGAACACCTCAACCATCATACTTAGTCACAACGGCTGGTACTTGAGCAGCTGCTGCGGTGCTATCAAGCACGGCAAAGGGTTTGCCGCAGACAAATCGACCAGCTGTTGGGTCCGTAAGACTCCTGGTTTCGGCCCGGGCGGGTTTCCGCGTTGTGGTTCATTTACACAAAGGTATATGGTATTCCATTCATGGCACTTACGCGTTCGCTGAGATGGAGAGTGGTACCCGGACGATAGATATGACTTCCCTTGTCCAACAAAAAAAAATAGCAAAACACAACGAACGCCACCTGAGTGCCGTTGCTACTTCCCGAACGTTCAACACGCTAGATACGACACCCCCTCGACTGATTTTCAAAGCTCAAATTACCGGCAGGAAAAACAGTAACGGCGCCGAAAATGGAGGGTTGGAGCCATTTCGCCCAGAGCACCCGGAAACGTATCATTTGAGTTCGACGTCCTCTTCGTAGTCGAAAAGTCGAGTTTCGAAAATCGGTCCTGGGGTAAGGTATGCATATCTTGAGTCGCCTATGGTACGGTCTTCGGCCTCTCACCTCCTCGTTGTCGTACTTGTACTGGAACTCCGCGTTGACGGCGTTGTCCTCCCCACGTCGGTTACCTAGTTCCCGTTCGCAATACAGCAGTTACGCCGCCACCAAACAACACAACAAGGAAGGGAGGCAAACACAACAGGAACAGCGACGGAGACAGGGAGCAGCACCAGCGACAAGCACGCCAAGCACAACCCGGTGGTGGTATTGCGGTAAGAAGGGGCCAGACGCGGAATAGGCAGCATGACGTCATCTCTCAAGCATGACGTCATCTCTCAACAAGGACAACAGCCGGTGGGAGGAGCTTCGCCGGCTGCACGATGACAGCAACAGCCCAGTACAACCACAGCCACAACAGCAGACGCAGCAGAGATACCTTAAGAGTCGGAGAGATGGCACCCCCGTGTTAGAGAGTCTTTTTTATAATTTCTCCACACCAACCGATACCTCTCAGGAAAGCCCTCGACGAGATATTTCCAAAACTACCCTTTTCGGCAGTGGTACCCCAACTGGTTGTGGATAAATACGCCACAAAAGAACGCCAACACGGGGGTGCCAGCTCTCCGAAATTTACGGTAAACAACAAAAGCACAACAGCCGGGGCAAGAGCAACCAAGCACTACGAGCGATGTGGAAGCTCTTCCGACGACGTACTTGCGAGGGTCATGTTTCAGGAAAAGCCCTAGCGCTTCAACTGGGGCGGGCTTAGCGTCGCACCGTCACCGACCTGCAGTATTGTGCCCCCTCTCAAGTCAACACCACCAGACATGCATCTTCCCGCCGACAGCAAACCCGCTTCCCATAACTTCTGAGCAAACAAAAAAAAGGCACAGATGAAACAGAAGGCCCGCCCCACAGACTCACGGAAGCTCCGGTTCTGGAAGTACACGGGCGCCGTGAAGTCGGCCGCCCTTCCGATGCGATCGCTCTTGCCGAACGGCGCGTACGGGACGTCCAGGAACTGCTCAGGCAACGCACTGCACGCAACGCGAAAAGAAAATAAAGAGGCACAAGAAAAATCAGCATGTACTGTACATGGGAAGCGACAGGACCAAGTTACACGCGCGACCGGAGTAGACAGGATTGGCGGGAACATAGGAAGGCGGAATGCGGCGAAATAGAGGTGCCACGCGGCGGCCAACGTCAAGACAAGACAAGACAGCAGTGGTCGGCACGGAAGTAACGACCACTCTGACATGCATGTGTGAGGAGGGAGTTCTGGAACGACTGGTGTCGCCTGCCGCGGGTTGATTACACCGAACGTCGAATTCAGCGACGGCGTGGTGCATCATCGCATGCATAGCCGTACATAAGTGCTCAAAGATGCGCGTTCGGGTGCACCAAAGTGGTTCACCTTCATGCCAAGCAAGAATAGAACACGCTAACAGAGAGGCGTGCAGACCGTTTACCCGTAATACCCTCGATATCGCTTCAAGAGCTATGCGGTCAAAAAGCCGACACGCTGTCTGTGCATCGTCCTCATGGGCATATTTCATGTGGTGGACGGAACGACGTCGGGCTCAAGATGGGCTGAAGACGCATCCACCCACGAAGGCAAGCAAATGTCCGACTTCTCATGTACTGGTCATGTTTACGCTCCCAACAGAGTGTACCACAGCAGCAGAGCACCAAAGTTGGGCGAGGAACTTGGTTTTAACCCGGGGTATATATTGAGCGACCAGCACTCTACACACTCCAGAACCACGCACCCCTCTTCGCAACGGCGATACACAGGATAGGCACCCCTCTACTATTGGCCGATCGTCAACGAACAATAACAGCAGAGAACACCGACGGGTTGGGCAATGGTCGCGGTCTGTCTTCTGCGTGGACGTGGCCGGAACAGATTGATTGATCTGCAAGAGACTTGACAGCGTATGTCATTCAGCGGCATGCCGTGTGTGCGGAATGCTGGTAGAATTTGTTTGGCATGACGATTATCGGTTGTTGAGGCAGCATAGGATTACGGCTTGCTGTTGAGGCTGGAAGTTGTTTGGTATAAGGAGAATTGGTTGTAGAGGCAGTACTGTATAGGATTACGGCTTGCTGCTGAGGCTGGAATTCGTATGGCATGATGATTATTGGTTGTCGAGGCAGTCTACATTAGGAATACGGCTTTGTTGAGGCAGACAGCCAAGGAACAAGGATACCGACAAGTGCTCTTGGGCCTTGAAGCTGACAAGTAAAGAGGACGGCTGGATGGGAACGGGGAAGGTGTGGATGAGGCAGTACGGTCCATGGCGGCTCAGGATGTTGTTAGAAAATATACAATACAATGTTGATTCTTCGAAAAGTATATATACAGACATGGTTCGATCGATAACCAAGAGCAACGTAGCGTCTCTGTGTGTATCGGTGGATCAACGACCATAAATGCACTTCGCGAAACCAACCAGAGGCAAGCTATTAATAGTGACAGACAACCAATTCAAGTAAGTGTTACTGCCGTTTTACCAATCACACTCTGTTGGTTTTCCACAGGCAACAAAGAAACCAGCCCGCCGATAGTTTGGGTACACACAAAATGTTCGCTGCATAGATTGAATGGCTGCTGTGTTAGATAGTCCCAGCTCGTGCGACTGCTGCGCCGAGATTCAAACCCACGTCCCAAACGTCAGCAAGCTTGCGAGGTTTACCAACCAATCCCGCACTGCTGCTGTGCATACTTGTACCAGCAATACGTGGTTAGAGAGTACAGCTGTAGTACTTGTAGCATACCAAAATGGTTAGTGCTGCCGGCAATACATTGCAACGATGCGCTCACAACGGTTTGGCAGATTTCGTGGCGTTGAAGCAATTCAACTGCGTGGGAGCCGACTCGCGCACCGGAATGGTACCAGTAAGTGGTGACAGCAAGCTTTCGGGGTACAGCAGTAATACATTGATGCAGTAGTGTTGGGTGACGGTGGGGATGCCGTACACATGTACACACATTTTTGAAAACGAAAAAACTGTTTCCTGTCTGCTGCTGTTGGAGAAGCTGCTGAAGCTTGCAAAAGGTTGCAAATGGCGCACGGCAGCATCATGATGCTATGTCTTCTCCCTGTCTCTTGAGGTTGCAACAGGCAGGACGCAAATGCATGGGGTACAAGCAGGCCGCTTCCGTGCAGCTCCAACAGGAGCACAGATGACAAGCATGGTTTCCCTCAAGATTCCAGGACAGCGATTTGAAAGCCTCACCTTGCGTCTGGCCCCCAGCCCCCCTCGGCATTGGTATGGACGACCGGCGTCGTGAACGTGCCCATGTCCTCTCGCTCCATGCTACCCTTGGCGCCTGTCAACGGTTCCTCGCCGCTGCTGGTGGTTCAAATCGATCGCGCCCGCGCTCCTTTGCTCTCCTCTCCGCTCCTTCCTTTTGTGGTGCTCAAGACACGAGCTCCGCCTCCGAAATGGAAATCGGCTACAAAACAACAACCAGGAGCGGTTTTCTTCCAATGTATCCTGGAGAGCAAGATAACCCCACGAGCCTGCTGCGCTACCTCTCTCTCTCTCTCTCTCGGCTCCGGTGGAAAGCCGCGGGTTAGTTGCTTGTAGGCGCCCCACGAGCCAGCACAACGCACTACTGATCTCACCCCCCCCCCCCCCCCCCCCTTCCCTGTTTTATTGCATTTTCTGAACACACATGAGTACTTAGATGAGAAATCTACTCCTCTGCGCGGACCCCTCGAGAACCCCTCACATTTTTTTCAGACCAACTCTGTCTCTCGTGTTACTGCTGTGTAGTCCACCTCACGTACGCTTCGGTAGACAGGACAATGCGACGCCCGCGGGCATTCACGTGCTCAAAGCTCAAGGCTGAGCCCCTTCCCCCGCCGACCCGCAAGCCGCTGGGCTATGCCCTAACCCCTGCGACGACTAGTGTGCAAGCGAGGTGGGTTTGATTCTTCATTTTAGCTAGATTTTTGAGGCGTCCGGTCGGGTTAGATTGATATATGTGCACGCAAAGCTCTTCTTTCTGTCCGGTCCCCAAAAGGATCGGTTCTTTCACATGCCTCCTCTCTCTCTCTGCTCGATAACACGCAGGAGGGCAGGGGGTTGGCTTCCCTCCTCGTGGAGTACCGTGTGGTCCTGTGCAGTTCGCTCGGTAGCGTTCAAAGCTCATCCCCTATGTGCACGGGTTGGTGCCGAAGTCAGCAAGGTCTTGGACGCACGTTGCCGTTTCACTTTCAGTTCCGATGATGATGTCGATATGCCCCTCTCGCCTCTCTACACTACACAAGGCCTCTCCTCCCTCCCCACGCCTACCTGTCCCTCTCCATGGCACTCACGGCCTAACCACTCCACACGACAAACCCTCTCACCGCTGCTGCTGCTGCTGCTGCTGCTGCTGCTGCTGCTCAACTTGACTGACGTGCCTTCTGTCTTCAACCCTTATTTTTTCCTCTCCTCCCCAGCAGTTCTCCGTGTAAGTGCGGAAAGTGCGGGGAATCTCCGACGGCAGCGTCGTCATCCTCGACGGCATCATCATCATCGTCACAATCCCCCTCGTCCTCCCGTATCCGCGAGGCCACCTCTGCCGGGGGACAAGGCTCCCGAGCGCCCCCCCTCGCGGAAGCGCTCGGCCCGTCGAACAACGGCTCCCCGGCCACCGCCGGCAGACCGCGGTTTCGACGGCTACCCCGGAACGCCCATCTCCCGCGTCGAAGCGTGTTCAACAACCCGCCGCCGTTGCCGGCGCCACCGTCGACGTCCCTCCTAGCAAGAGGAGGAGGAGAGCTGGAAGAACAAGGAGGAGAACGAGCCGGAGGCCTGGCGCCGCCGCCACCACCGTCCGACCAGCGCAAGCGAGGGAGCGACAGAGGCGAGCCGCGTGGGAGCTTCGCCGCTCCCACTGCCGGCAAGCAGCTCGCTGCTTCCGCTGCCGCCTCGACACCAACGAAGTCTGCTGCGGCTGGTGCTACTACTCCTGCTGCTGCCTCTACGACCGTAGCCGGTGGCTCTACGAGCAGGGCAGCGGGCACCAAGCCTGCTACTGCTGCTGCTGCTGCTGCTGCCACCCCGGTGGCCGTGAGCGTCGATGCAGCAGGGGACCAGAAGTCCTTCGCCACCATGTACTGCGAAGCCGGAGACTCGGTCGCCTCCTTCATCAGGCCCGGCGTGACGTTCATCAAGGTCGACTCGGCCGGAGTCGCCTCCGTCTGCGACGTTAGCATCATCCAAAACGACGGCAGCGTTAACAGCAGCGTTAACAGCAGCAGCAGCAGCAACAGCAACAATGCCGCGGGCAGCCGTGCTGGCATGAAGGGCTTCGACGAATGCAAGGCGCCCGCCACAGACGCCAGCGGCGTTTTCTCGATGGGCTCGTCTTCATCCAGAGCAGCCTTCGGCCGACGCCGCCGGCGAGTGGGCGGCTGACAAAACAAGCATCAACGGCGAACGGCGAGGAGATCCCTGGAACTTTCCTGACGCGAAGCGCGAGACCGCGGGAGGAGACTGGTGATGTGGGCTACACCGTGGCTGGTAAATCAATCGATTGGATTTATTTGAAGAACGACAACGACCGTGCGGCGACGAGGGATGAAGATCTTCCGGTGTTTTGTAGCACCACCAGGTGGTGAGCATGTGGTGATTTTTTAGTCGCGGCATTCCCACCCTACCCATTCTCTGGCGCCTACCAGCAGCCTCCTGCAGTTTTCAGCCCACCTTTCTGATTGGTTTATAATTTTGACGTATCAGCCAGGGTTCACAAGAGCGTGGGGAAGGTTAAAATAGAACGCGTCCTGCTTCCCCCGCCCCCCGTTTTTTTCGGCCAGTTACAACAAGGGCTTGGTTGGGAGTTTATCGGGCGTGTTTTTTTTTTTTCTCCTTGTAATATGCATACGGCCCCGAAAAATTAGTTCAACCAACGCTGGTCGAGGAGTGTGTTGTGTGATGTTGGTTGGATACCTCGTGTTGTCGGTTTCAGGTCACCTATCGTATGCATACGCCGTCACAAACAGGAGTAAAGGAGAGTTTCACGCGTTTCCCGCCCAGTTCGTGAAAAGTGACGCATGCCCTTCATGTTGTGCCACTTAAGCTGGCCGTTGCTTGCGTTTGCTTGTTTTTTTTTTTTTTTGCTTTCTCGGTGTGATGTGAAAAAATGCCGACAAGGCCGGTGGGGTCTGTCAACCAATAACAGCATATTGTAGTTGAACGCGCTAATCGAATTTCTAGAGCCTCTACGTCCCAGCTGATGCCAGGAGTATTTTGGCTTTTAGTGCTGCTGCGTGCGTGTGGCGATTTCCGCGGGAGCTGTCGATTTCTGTGGTTGGATCTGACTTGGTGGCTAGTAAAGCAGTCACCATTTACAATTGTATGCATACGATGCTGCTTTGCTGTTGCGATGCTGCTTTGCTATTGCTTGAGGCGTGGCTCTCATCACATTTCTAGCATATTGTAGTAAACACCTGCATTCGCACCCTCGAAACGGGATAAATCGAGTAGAACAGCCGCAGCGTGGTAAACTACATCGTGTGTAGACTACATTTCCGTTGGACTAGACGATACATACGATATCTTCGCGGTGCCGCTGTACGTGTGCTGCTGTAGTCTGCAACGCCAGCGTACGGCGTCTAGAAGGCTGTACCAATCAGGGCGGCCGGTAGGGTCCACGCGGGGGGTAAGGGGGGTGTACGTACAGCGTATGAAAGGTCCCCCCAGGGTGGCCTCTTACTATTTGTTGTTGGTCGGGGAGTTGTTCGCGTTGAGTTTGGCCTGGTCATCACTTTGGATGACGCCCGCCTCACTTTGGATGACGCCCGCCTCAGGCTTGGGACTGGAAATCCTGGACGGTTTCATTTTTTGTTGTGTCTTCCCCTCGACGTGGAGGCAGTTGGGCAGACAGGACGGTTATTTGTTGTTCGTTTGTATAAATTGTACGGGCAGTCTACGCGTGGTACTATTAGATTTGTGTCTCCCTGCTCTTGGTATGGCGAGGAGAAAAGGGTCAGTCCTGCTGCTTTCGCCGTTGGTTGTCGAGAAGAACCTTTCGGCCTGATGGCATATAGGAGCGTTGGGCTATCGTGAGGTATGAGGTGTGGGTTGTAGCACACCAAAACAATTTTGTGTCGAGCATGCGTGCGGTTTCCTTTTTTTGTAATTTTGTTGCGAGAAATCTCTTCTTCGTATATTCGGCCCGCAAACCGCAAAATAATCGAAAGGTTTGTTGCGGTTGTGCGATTGTGTAGCCAACCGCTCGAGGTTGCTTGACTGGCTTGCTGGTAAAGATCTCCTTTCTGAGGGTTCAATTCCTTTGGCCTGCCTGCGCGAGCATACCGTCTTGAGACTGTGTTCGTCTCAGCACGCCTTAGTCGGCGGCGGTACGCACAACTCACGCGTACGCGAGGTGCGGGGTCTAACCGGCCGAATAGCTTTTGCCGCAATCTCAAATCAAATGAGCGATCCGATGTACGATGTACAGTACCTCACGTCTTCCGTCCCTAGGAATTTTCGAGTGGTCCAGTACAACTGTAACAGCGGTTTCGCTAGCGTTGCGCAAGGTTGTTTGCAGCTGTGCTGACAAAACCACCACTTTTTGCTTGAAGGCATGGAGAGGCGATGGATTGCATCGAAGACCTCCTGCCGAAATCTCCCTTTGTACCCTTCTTGAATTGCTGCAAATATGTATGCGGTGCAATAAGTGGTGGAATCTCCCGCCCATCACCACCACGGATAGTGGATGGTTTCTCTCCTTGCCCCCGCTCGAATGCTTCCGCTCAAAAAGTTGCCACCCTTCCGTTTTGTCGTGCCTGGGCCGAAGCCTCGAAAATCAAGCTCACGACGTCAAAATCGGCAAATCGATTGGTGAGTTATTGTTTAAGTTTTTGATTGAGGAAATGTCGTTACGCACCGTCCCCTCATCATGACAACGACCTCCACAAAAAAAAACGTTACCGAGAGTCTCGTGGAAGACCACCACGGTCCTGAGGTAAGCTGCGTTGCCAATGAAAAACAGCAGGCTTGTTTCCTGCCCCCCCCGTTCTTCAACGGAAAACTATGCTTCAGGAGAACGGCAACAAACGCCGTTTAACTGCGGTAATTGGCACGTCCAGAGTACTTCAGCCCCCCGTTTTCGAAGTCCATGCGCTTGGTACATGCTCGCTTTCTCTCAAGGTGTATCGTGATGACACAGGATACCATACCCCCTGGACTGATTTTCAAAGCTCGACTACTGTACTCCATGTTACGAAGAGTATGTAAAAAGCCCAAACCATGCGTTTTCGGCAATCTCTCGACGAGGAGGTTCGAACGCCGTCATTTCCACCACCACCGCCACTGCGGTAGAGTGGTCGAGCTTTGAAAATCGGTCCAGGGGGTGTGGTATCTGAAGTCACCTACTCGCGGTACCTCCGTCACGCGACGGTTTCGACTACGAAACAGCCAAACACACCTAGAGGCGAAGAAAGAAACGTAGGAAGGGTCATTGTTTGTGTGCGTGTTCCCTCTCCTCGTCGTTGTCCCAGATGCTTCAGAACATTTTGCAAAGGCAAAAAAATTCGTCAAGATATGACGGCTGCTGTGGTTGTTGTTGTTGTTCCGGTGTCTTCCGGTCAATTGCGTCGCAGCCGCAAGTGCCCGCATGCCAACGGACACATCTTCGTTTCCTGGAACAGAGGACAAAGTGGTTTTTGAAAAAGATACCGAATACGATTAAAGGGGAAACGACTTGGAAACGACAATATATATTTTTGAAGTCCACCCGAATGAGGAGCCAATCGTCGTCATCATCTGTCAGGTGCGAATACGATTGGGGAAAACGGCAATATTATTGTTTCCAAGTCCACCGGGACGAAACAATAACCAAATCTTCACCACCATCTTGTCAGTCCTTTGCTCTCCTCCCTTCTATCTCAGGTCAAAAAGATTCTTCCTTCGGGGCATTGCATCTTCCGGACACAACCGTTTGTAGATCCCTCTGTTGACCATTCGACCGCGACATCCCCACGAACCTCCTCCTCCGTGTTTCGCAAGGCTGCACTTGCCCATCCATCCCTCGACAGCCTTCACACACCTACCTGACCGACTCGACTGTTTTCACCATGTTCCACCCCCGACGGACTGTTGTTGTTGTTGTTGTTGTTGGTTGTCACATCAAAATCTACTCCGAAGCAGAGAGGAACGAATTCCTCCATGGTCACCCAGGGAAAAGCTACAATTTTCCCCACAAAAACCAGGCACACATACATGAACAGATGACTCAATCAGCAAACAGGGCCTGGACTACTGTACCCATGGTACGGGGCCTCGAGTAAACTACCTCCTCTCTGACCATGAGACAGTCCCATGTCGGCAGGAAATAGTAATGCACTGCAATCCTTGGTGTTCTGCCACCGCGAGCCACACAGCCCCATGTTCTCTTGGGGGAGGGGTTAACCCACTACTAGTGTACGGCAGTCGCTTCTCGCAAACAGTCAGATTGTTACGGTTTCGTGCCGAATGGAGGCCGGGATAAGCCGTTCGTTCGACCCAAATTATTACCCTACCTTCTCGCCCCCTACGTTTCGTTCCGTGATACGTCGGGCCCACAAGTGCTCTCTCTCAAGAAACCCTAATATTTTGTGTGGGTGTGTGCGTATTTTTTATTGTCCCCCCCGTCCTCTCGAGGATGCTTGGTCTATGGTCTAACAACTAAAGCGCAACACATGGCTACGCCCCCACCTCCATAGGAGTAAAGCAATAAGGCAATCAGGGCACTGATCCAGAAAAAAAAAAAAAAAAACGTTAGGGCAAGGACTATTTAGACGAAAGGCAATGGAAGTCCATGGCTCCACTTGGCAGCGAAGCCCCTCGTTCGCGTACTGCTTCAAAGAGACCCACTGCATGCACAAAATAATCTTGCAAATCAACACATTCGATCTCAATCTTTTAGTCGGTTGTAGTATCGCCGACCAGTCCTACTCAACGCCCGACAGACATGAGGACGGGCTTTGCAGTTCAAGAAGAAACAGAAAAGGCAAAACAAAAAGAGGAACGATTTCCCGGCTTTGGTTGTAGTACTTGAAAGAGGTTCCAACAAGCACACGAGAAGCTCGGATCGATCACAACCAACGCCCCGGCGGGAAAAAACATCATCTGCAGAAGCAGCAGCGTGCCAATAAGTTGACAATACACTGTACGGATTGACACGGAGGTCGGGAGTCTGTGGCGTATTCTGAGATACCACATATCCTGGGTGTCAGCCTCCACAATAACAACACTATTCCGCCTTTACGAAAACAACAACGTTGGCGTAGTAGTCTAAAGCTTCCGCCGAACCCGAGAGAGGCCGCCGGTTGCCAACAAGAAAACACGTACATGCAAGCTTCAGAATAATTGTTCGACCCACGCAACACCTACCCGTGGCAGCGCGGGGGTAGATACGGAATCACCAGAACGGAAGGACTCGACACAGACGCGTACAGTAGTAGGTCGGACGTTGTCCCCCGCTGCCGGCGTTACAATGAGACACGTAGGTGCTAGCCTACATACTTCCGGAAAGCAGCAATTTATTGTACATGTAAAGAACATCGAAGAAAGGAGCAGAGAAGAGAGTTCCTCTCACTCACGCAAAGCAGGGGAAACACACACGGAGTGCTACTTACCGTAGTCTACACACCGAAAAGGCGCTAACAGATCGTATGAGTTTTCAGTAATAGTATACCAGGGAAGAGGGTTCTCTCCTACCAAGTAGGGGGCACGTAAAAACGCTACGTACGGTGGTCTACATGCCGCCAAGGAGCAAACATAAAAAAAACAACAGCAGGAATCAACAGTAGACAATAGGGGGGATGTTCTCTCACGCAAAGCAGGAGACACGTATAGCGCTACCACTGTAGTTTACCTACCTCAATGGAGCAAACAAACATGGAAATATAACAAGAAAGGAGCAAAAAAAGTTTGTCTGATGCAGAGGAAGATCGATAGTGAAGGGAAAGGGAAACCCTGCCGACGACTCCAAGCCACGCGAAGCAAACACACCAACCCCACTAGCTCGCAAATCCCTGATCGCGGTGACACCTACCCAAAACAACGCCTTCCTCACTTTTCGAGCAACAGTTCATGCTCGCCCTTGCCTCGGCCTTTGGCAAACTCAAGCACAGGGAGATCCTCCACCGTGAGCGGGCTGCTTCAGACTTACGTATTCAATACAGAGTATATATATCTTCAAGAGTTGAACCTCCCGCGTAAACCCAGGCACAAATAAATCATGTACCGTCTATAATCTCTACACTCTGATCCCTCCCACGAAAGCATGCGCAACCCTGCACCAAAGCGTGACCCATCAACAGCAACCACGCACGCCTAATCGAAAATTAAAAGGGCGAAGAGCGCAAATGAAATAAAACGCCATTTTGCTAGGCTTTCGGTGGAACAACTTCAGCAGTCATCACGTGTGAACAATGCTCCTACAGCGGCCACCAAACAACTATATGCTCGCCGGGAAATCAATTTTGTATAGCAAGGGTCCGACCCTGTGCGGGGTGTCCGACCACCTCAAGCTTCAACCCACTGACCCCCCAGAACAATACTACCGGCCCTATAGTCACAGCTCCGACAGACGTTGGAGTCAAATGAAAACGACGGTGCCTTTATTGAAATCGATCGAATAGGTGCGGCCGAAAAACTGTCGACTCACAAAAGTCAAGATAAACCTTCTCGGCTGTTCTAGGCGCTCACGCTCTTCATCTCCTGGTACGAGGTAAATATATATATACATCTCTCTGCCTGAGGTGATCCAATCTATCAACAACCCGCAGCATGCCCCCCTAACAAAGGTGCTAATTTACAAGGCTTCTGCAGCTACGATCTAAGCACCTCGCTCGCCGTGGCAAACCAGGTGCGTCAAGTCTAGAGCTACCCTCTGGACTAGTCTACATGTATACCTCCAGACTCAAACATGTTGGGGGGTTCCCGGTGTACACTCCTCACGGCAATGCATCGACGGTAGGCACCGCAGTACAAGCCAGGTCGCCCACCCCCAGAACAAGATTTTTCCCGGCCATGACTTCGAAAACATCCAAAACCGCCAAAACCTTGTCGCATGAGTCAGTCAGGTATTCGCACGGAACAAATGCTTCGGCGCACACGACACGGTATGCAACCAACGTCGATCGCATTCAACACTCACTCCGTAAAGACCGCCGTCTTTTAGAGAAAACCACGTGTTCGTAAGCACGAGCACGATGGGACAAAAAAAAAAAATCCAACAATAGAAAAAAATCCACCTCACAGTAGATCCAGTTCCTTCAAAACTCCCGTCACCAATCCCAGCCAATCAGGAACCTTTCTTTCCCTCTCGCCGTTTACCAGACCAAAAAAGAGACCCCAAGCCGTCCAGATCAGCCCCATAGCCACACGGTGGCTCGTCGGGAGGTTCTCCCGAACGAGAACGAGGACGAACCGGCACGCTTCTTGTCGAGCGAATGTCGCGGCTTTGGGTCTCGAGGCTTGACACGCTTGACCCCGGCCATCGCCCTCAAGCCCCGATTGATCGACAACGTATGACACGTCTTCCGGTCGCTCTCGGAGGGAGGGAGGGAAGGAACCCCTGCCCGAAACGACGCCGTGTGCCCGAAACGACACTGTCTGCCCGAAACGACACCGTCTGCCCGAAACGACACCGTCTGCCCGAAACGACACCGTCATCGGCGGTGGGCCCCTCCGAGCCGCCGAGACCCTCGAGAACTCGCGGGAGGGGGGGCGGGGGAGGCGCCATCGGTAGGGGGCGTCTCGGCGCGCTCGTCGACGCTCTTCGTCGCCAGCACGCTGTGCAGGACGATCGTGTCCAGAGCGATGCGGACTTGGCGAAACCCCCAGCTGAAGATCATGAGCAACGGCCTGCGAGGCGTTTTCGCAGGGCACGCGGCGACGGCGGCAGGGGGGCGGACTCTGAGCGGGTGCCTGCTACTGCTGTGTGTTTGGTAAAACATCTGGTATGGTACTCACCGCACAACGTTGGGTGAGAGAGGCCATGCGATGCTGCCTTTGGTGCACAGACGAGGCTGGGGGGGGCTTCACGCTTTCGGTGGGGGAAAGTAAGGCCTGCCGTTATGCTAACGCCTCCCACGGCTCGTTTTTAGATTTTGCTACAACACACCGAGTACAGCCGATTCGGCTCAAAGAATGCAACCTGCGATCGTGGTTCATCAGCAGGTGCACGGATACCTTCGAGCACCAACACAAGAGTCTTTGATTTGATTCATCATTGAGCGTAGTTTCCGGCCTTTACACCAAGGATAAGGCGTTGGGGCCAATTTCCCCCAAACAACGTGCTTGCATTCTCCACCATTCCCCCTCTCGGCCTACAGTATGGCCTTGGTCTCCTCTGCGGAGTTATGCTTCATCGATGGGCTCGCTCAATACTGCGTGCTGCCCTCGCCATCGCAAATTACAAGACGGGCTCAACAGTGCCAACGGTGCCAACGGACATCACTTGTATCCATCGACAAAGGTTGGGTGTGTTGGGTGCATTGTGTAATTTTGGGAGACGCTGCTAAGGGGGAACCTATCCCCAAGGCATCCGTCCACTGACGTTTACCAGAATCATTACAGCTTCGCAACGCAATATGATAGGATTCTTCAACTGCTGTCAACTCACCATGCCATATCGCTGATGACGTAGATCGTGCCGCACACGCCGAGGGTCAAGTTTCCGACGGTTCCGAGCAGAGTCAGGCCGAAGTAGTAGCGGAGGCAGGCGTGCATCATCCAGCACTCCTTGATCTCCGTCATCCGGAACAACAGCAGCCAGGACACAATGACGAACATGCAGATCCCGACGAGGAACTCGACCATGAAGGTGGAGATCATGACGAACTCGTGATCTCGCTGCATGGCCGTCGCCGGCAGAGAAGGGTTGGCACAACGATGCAGAAAACGGGACAGTACTGACTCACAGCATATCCACGAGCTGTGTCTATTCGCGCTGCAAGAATTCCGTCCTCAGAGCAAGATCGATGGCGTGTAGTAGTGCCCACAAACGCGCACAAGCACACAACAGGCTCCTTCACCTCAATAGCTGCAAGACACACTAGAGACGGTGCAACAAGGAACCTGCGGCATATGTTGTGAGTACTAGTATAACACATCAAAAACCAAAACAGTCGTTTGGTCGAAACCGTACCTTGTTCTCGCCCAACTCCCAAAACCCAGTGCCGGACAGCACCGTTAAACCCCAGAACGGCACGGCGATGGCGGCGAGTCCCGCCGAGAGGGCTAGGAACAGGAGCACTAGCTTGTGCGTGCTGATGCTTTTGACGTGAGATTGCGGTCGACGAGACTTGGCACGCATCATGCACGAGAGACGCCGGAGGGGGGGGCAAAGGAAATGTGGACGTCGACAAGGCGTCTGGTGGCAGTGCAAAGGCAACAACTGCCTTAGAGGCGCGGAAATTTTCGCGTACCCAACCGTGGTTGTTGGACGATTGGAACGAGACCGGTAGGATAGTGCACACTCAGTTGTTCCGTACCTTACAAAGGGACACCATCTAACACATTATGAAAATCACACCACTTCAGAACAACGAGGTAGTTGTGTTCAAGCACTGACCATGACGATGAGGGAGAGGTTGACGCAGATGGCCAGGTTGGTGATGGCCAGCATGTTCGACGCGAATAGCTCCAAGAACTTCAAAGTCTTGATGAACGTCGCGAGGTTCTCTCCGGCCCAGCAAACCGATATCATAGTCGCCCCGATTAAGTAAACCAGCTGGTGTACCAGGCCACTGCTTGCGGCAAGGGAGAGGGAGGAATCAAAGCCGGAAGCCCCAACAGCTAGTTTCAAAACATGGGTAAGGAGGAGGGGGGGCGTACTCTCGTGTTTTGCATGCCTCATCGGTTAGACCATTGACCACAAGATGGTATCGGGGTGCGAAAAAAAGCAAAAGCAAGAACGGCACATGTATTTATGTATTGCCGCACCGGGGCTGAGAGTTGGCACGTGGGCCCTTGTTGACTACGATAATTCATTGTATTTCCGTACCGCGGTCAGAGAGAGATGGCACCTGGGGGGGGCGTACTCTTATGTTTTGCATGCCTCAGCGGTTAGAACATTGACCACGCGTCCTCGAGAGGACGGAGCATTGTTCCCACAGGACCGATCACCGATGGCCAATCGTTCCTTCCTACTTTGCCAAAGGTGGCTCAAAAATGTCGTCCCTAGTCTGTCTATCCTAACGATATCCCTTCCCGCCATTTTAAACCACTTTCTACTCCCCAGTACAGCTACCGACCTCTCCTCTCTATTCCATGCCTCAAACATCTCCCTGTTCCTCCCTTGTATTTTTTCCAGCTCAGTCATGTATACTTCCCTCTCCTTGTTGTACAGCCGACATTCCGCGACTACATGAACACGGTCTCGCATTCGAAGCCGCCATCACATTTGAACTTGTCGTCTTCGTCGTCTACCGTCCTACGTCTAACTAGCACCGATAATCGTCCTTGTATCTTCCGACTTGACTTCAAGAGCGCCCGACCCCCCAATAATTCTCCTCACGGGTCTCTGCTTCACCTCTTCTTCCATCACTTCGACCGAGTTTCTCTCAGAGTCCTCCGGTTCGCTACCCATGTCTGCCCTATGACTTGGGCAGTTACAGACAGTGATGTCGATAACGGGGTACCGTTTATAACCGGTTACAGGGTTCAGCGGTAGGTACCCTGGAAATCCCAGGTTATTTTTCAATTCCGGGGGGCCCCTCACTGGGGGGGGGGTATTTTCACCTGCGGGCCCCCCTCGCACATGGCGCACACACTCACGCCAGCCAGCGCACACGACAGCATCAGTAGCAGGCACAGCAGACCATCCTATACCCACACAGAAGCAGCTGTTGATGGCTCGGGCTCAAGGGTGGTTGTTGTTGATCTTACTCGGGGGCAGTTTTGTGTTTTTGTTTCGGTCTGATGTAGCAAGACGCAGAGAGCTGCGGGCGGAGGGGAAGTGTCAAGGGGGTTCTCTTTTGTTTCAACTGGCGGAAGTTGTTTCGTTCCTTCTCTCTCTTTCTCTCTTTCTCTCCTTCCTGTCGTTGATATTTTTCCACTTGCTGCGCGTTGTTGTGAGATCTATAGGAGGCACATTACGCACTAGCAGATGAGAAGACAAGCTTTTTTGTTTTTCGTTTTTCTCGGGGCTTTCCTATATTCTCATGGCCGAGAAAAAAAAAATGTATTCATGACAACATTCCAATATTGCACCTGCATTGTAACGTGGTTCAAAGGTTCAAGGTAGGAAGCTGAAACGATACACACGACTGCGGCAGCAGTGGCAGCAACGCGCACAGAAGTGCACCTTGAACAGCATACAGCGAGCTGCTTCCAAACGAACAAAATATCGGACGTATACGTTAAATAACACCCCGGGGATGGGCCGTTTTCGTCCCCGCTATGAGCGGTTATAACCGGTACGTACCGCCGAAGGCTCATTTCCGGTTATTTCCGGTCAGTACCCTGCTCGAGCCCGGTTATCGACATCACTGGTTACAGACGGTGTGTCTAGGGTAGGGTTTCTTTCTTCCGCCGATGTTGTTCCGATATCGTTTCTTGGTTCGGTTTGTACTAAATGGAACGAGCATAGGCCGCAGAGGTTCGGAAGCCGCCACCTTCTCGTGTTGTGGACCAAAAAAAAAAAAAAAAATCGCGAGGGCCTCGCGCTGATGGGACGTTTCGAGTGTGCTCAGCAGCTCGGAGCCCTACGTTCCGCTTCAACACCGCTGTGAAAGCAAATCCACAGCAGCAATCAAAACCGCGTCCAATGGCAAACCGCATTTTCTTCTTTTTCGTGGACATTTGAGACTTTCCCGGGTTTTCTTACCAGCGGAACACCAGCGGAATTGTACGGAATACTGCTGTAGTCTAGTCCTGTGGGTAGGATGCACGCACTGCTGCTGCTGTTGTGTGCCATTTCGCCCTTTCACGTTTAACCCATGCGTACACGTATTTCACTAACCCCATTTCTTTGAAGCAAAGGCTCGCCACCCTCAACTGACTGTCAGAATATCACGTATCACACCCGCGTCCCCTCTGCTTCATGAAAACAGCAGGATCACCTTCCCGCAACCAACACCTCTAGTCTATAGCTGAAAGGATTCCTAGGTATCCCCGCCCTGATCTCCGGTACAAAGTACATCGTCGTACAAGAATAATGCGCCGATATTCACGGTATCTGTGCATAGGTACTCCGAGTGCATCATTTGTGTAGGGTACAAGAAAACCCTCTTCCTCCCCTGTGCGCCGCTCCGCTTGATGTGTTGCATCAATGTGTAGACTGGTCTTCAAAATGTAAGTATGTCGTACACGTGCAGGAGGTACGCAGGCGTTTGCAAACTGAATATCATCGTGTGATACCAGAAGTTGCATGCAAACTCTGCATTGCCATCACCGCACAGGTCATGTTTGCACAGCTACCGCCGCTCTTCGATTCCAGACCAGACGCGCGCGGGTGGTTGGCGCTTTATTTGTTGTGGGTGACAGCTGTTGCGAAAGAAGAAATAGTTGATTCGTTCGATGCAGTTTTTTCACCTGTCACAGCAGAGACAGACACCCGCCCCAAGAGGTCAAACCTGAGCCAGTGGCTGAAGAACAAAGGCAGCTTGTAGATGCAGTCGCGCCGGGTGACCCATGCCGATACCACCGAAACGGTGATCAGGGTGCAAAGCACTCGAACGAAAGCACTGGCCGCCTCTCCTTCCTGAAGACCTGCGACGATGAACCCGGTTTCGCACTTTAGCGTGTATGCATTCGTGTCGTCGGCGGCTTGCTCCGCTGATAGACTCGAACTGCCGTCACCCGCTTCAAGAGGTGCGGCAGATGAGGAAGTCGCCATGCCAAACTCGGGCGAAGTTCTCTCTCTGTCGAGGTATATGACGGGGTCTCGACTGACAGGTGGTTGCGCAATCGACCTCGATGCACGCAAGAACTATGTAACAAAAATGTGGATCTTTTCGAAGTGTACATGTACGCCGAGACCGTGCAATGTTCTGCGCCGAGGGACCCAGGACCCAACAACAACTTGAATGCCACACGATTTTCATCGGCATTTATACGGGGCGACCGGCATTATTCAATCGGCGTGATACCTACTGCTACACTGCTGTATGTACCGGGACCACCACTTCATAGCATAGAGATGTGAAGCTATTGAAAATCCTTGTCCTTGGTCAGCAAGAATAACGATTATTTGTATGGACGTTGGAGTTATTTGCAGTAACTAGAAGTAGTATCAGAAAAGGCGACAGTCACTATGGTACTACTGTATGTATGTATATATTATATGCTTGCTTGTCATATCTGCAGACAAGTGTTCGCCTGACAATGGACTTGACCTTGCTTGGCTGTACATACTGTACAGTTCAAGTTGAACTTCCTCCCACCGAACAGACACGAAATAGCCTCCTTTGGTATGTATGTTTCCGTTTATTTAGTAGTCTCGCCGATTTCATTTTTACAAGCGACCGTCGTGCCCATCACACACCGTCCGTTCATTAATTTAATCACAGAATGAATTAATGTTGATGTTCGGCGAGAAGAATTCATTCTTCTGTCGTCGGTACTGCCTCGTTATTTGCGAACAACAACAACAGCAGGGTAGTAGGGGCCAGTCAGTACGGATAATATAAGGTACGTATGCATACTGAGCGGAGATCGCAGAACGGTGGGGGTAACAAGAGAGGTAAATACTGTAGGTATACGGTTGCAGTTGGATCGATCGGCCAGCAAGAAAAAGGACAACTCCGCCCAGGGCATAGTAATAACAGTTTCGCGAATGACGGAGCAGGGCTTGCGCCCTTACGACCGTCCCGGCGCCTTCGGAGTATTCCCTTCTCTGGGAGGCAACAACGCGCCCTGTCGAAAACGATGGTGTTCGGCTGTGGATAGGTTCATCTGAAACACGCCAACCGCACTCACTACTATTATATATAGTGGCTTGTGCAGCACCACCGACGCAACGCCCCGCACAGCAGTAAACAAAACGTCAACAATATTACATCATACATACAGATGGCGCTCGCACTTGAGAACTTACTCGAGTAGCAGATAGGACTGCAACCTCGAACTTCAAAATTTAAGAACTTGGCTGTAAGAGAACAAGTGCTCAGTTCCGACGTGGTATTAAGAACAAGAACCAGTATTTTGTGGTTACACAAAGCGCCTTCGGATAAGAACAGACCCCAAAAAAGTGGCAGCTGCAAGAGAAGAACTCATGAAGGTGGTGAGGGGTGACTCACGGGGTGTCCGGTGACCCCACCCACCGGCAGGTACAGATCAGCGACGAGGAGGGGGATCTCCGTTTCAAAAAGTACTGGTGCGGAGGGGGGGGGGCGTACTCTTATGTTTTGCATTATCTTAGTGGTTATATTAGACCATTGACCACGCGTCCTCGAGAGGACGGAGTATATATTGTTCCCACAGGACCAAATACCGATGGCCAATCGTTCCCTCCTACTTTACCAAAAAAAGTTGTCTCAAAATGTTCTCCCTAGCCGATCTACCCTATATCGACATCACTTCCCGCCTCTTCAACCCACGTTCTATGCCCCAGTACAGCTACCTAGCTGGTATTCCATGCCTCAAACATCTCCCTGCATCTTCCTTATACTTTCCCCCAAGGCTCAGTCACATAAAATCTCCTCTCCTTGTACAAGAGACATTCCGCAACTACATGAACCCGGTGTTCGCACTCGGAGGAGCGTTCACATTTGGCCTTGGTCGGTGCGGAGGGGGGGGGGGGGGGGGGAGGGGCTTTACTTTTTTTTAAAAAGGAAGGCCCCCCTCCCGGGGCAATGGGGGGCCCGCCCCCCTGCGTGCCCTGCACAAAAACCCTATTTTTTCCCCTTTTAAAATTTAAAAAACTCCGCCCACTGCCCAAATTGAAAAGAGGGGGAAATTTTGGTCCACCCTTAAAGGCCCTCCAAACCCCCAAAT